CATTACCACCAGTGTATTTATCCAGGCCCTGGTCTTTATCAATATCAGGGATAAGAAATTCGTAGACCAGATGTTAATAGCCATACAATATACAATTATTTCACACTTAGGATCTGATCCAAAATGCATTTAAATCTCCGAGAGCTGCCCACATCCAGGTAACATGTTTCCGTACAGGCTTCCTGTCTACTCTAAGGTTTAAAAATATGTAAATCAAAACTCAGGATTGCCAGCCTCGAAAATGATGAGATTGGTTTAAAAAGAACCCAGCACTGATTTTTTTTTAAATCTCATGATTTCTATTTGCTGTTTGATCACTGAGCCTGTAGGGGCCATGTTTCCAGCTTCTCTCTGCAAACACCAAAGCCTAGATATAAATTCCAGGAGCTGGGACTTTAAGAAAAACACCAAATATCACAAGATTCAGGATAAAATCACAACACTTGGCAAAAGTGCATATTAACAAATCTGTTTAACAACTATCCATTTTCCCACTCTAATTATGGCCCCAAGACACTGAACTGATAGAAGACAAGTAACTTGAGGGCTGTGGATATGGCAAATAGCATTTTATGATGAGTTTTCTAGGTATGTATCCTAAACAGCACTCTGGTCCAGACTCTCAAGGTATTTAGCTCCTAACTTCCATTGATTTCACTAAGGCTGAGTCTACAAACAGAGTTACATCTTTTTAACTAAAGGTGTTTTAAAACCAATTCAGTTAACCCAGTGCAAACCCCTGTGTAAACACTCTTAATGTGCTTTAATCCTGGTTTACATCAATTTGGTTGAAGTCAGATCCATACTGAATTTGGCTAAATGCATAGAAGGTGTACAGGCTTTTAATAGCATGTGGCAGATTGCAGTGTGACTGGGGCAGCTGGTTCCATGTCCTGAAAAGGGATCAGCTTTCAAGTGTTTGGGAAACAAACTGCCCTGTCCCATTGCACTTCTTATGCACAGTGCCATACAACGAGGGGTGTTTCCAAATGAATCAACAGTGATCACAGATAATACTGTGGAAAAAAGCCGTGCTTGGGAGTGAAAACTGCTGTCAATGTAGGAATGTTAATGTTTGAATTCCCCAACTGCTGCATTTATAGACTCATAGACTTTAAGGGCAGAAGGGACCATTATGATCATTTAGTCTGACTTCCTGCACGACGCAGACCACAGAATCTCACCCACCCACTCCTGTAATAAACCCCTAATCTGGTTTTGACCCAGCATGACCCAGCGGAGAAGTTTCCCTTACTTATGAGCCACTGACCAGGTCCAGACTGAAGCCATTAGTCAGTGAAACCCATGACCCAGTGGACCCTTTCCCTGGGGTGTGAGAGTGAGAATTTTCTCTAGCTTATGAGCCGCTGACGTAGCGGACAGGGGGCCCTCCCCGGAGTGTGTGGAAATCTTCCCTTCCTCATGAGCCGTTGAGTGGACAGGGCACTCCCCTGTGTGATTGGGAAATGGGTGGGGGACAGTCTAAGAATTCCCCTGCACCATCGAAGGGCACCCCCGCGTACTACACGTACGTGCATTATGGTCCTAGGACCTGCAGGTATTTAGAAAACTGGAATTTTTACACGCGTGATAATCCATCTAAACAATTCCCACTAGAAGGTACCTTCGATCTAGATAAAATCATATACCTCTGTGGAAGTGGAATAAGGGATAAAGGGAATTTGAAAGCAGATATCTTAGTTTCTAGGAATAGAGCAAGAGTCAGGCTAACACATGAGACTTTAAGGCAGGGCCTGGGCGAGTGGGAAGTGAGTGGGAAAAACTGTAAGACATGCTGTTTTGACCTTGTGTTAGATAAGAATGGAACACAGACTGTAGCAGGAACTGCTGAGAAAAGTAAGATATCAGGAAGGAATATGTATAAACAAGACGCGGTTGTTGATCATTATTTTATGCAACAAAAGGTATACATACTTGCCCTAATTGTTTATCTGGCGGAGACCTGCCTAGGAAGGGGGAATCCCTGTCTGTGTGCACTCTCCCCCTTGCAACTGCTTGATAATAAACTGTCTCTGTCTTGTATCAGAGGGGTAGCTTTGTTAGTCTGGATCTGTAAAACGCAACAAAGAGTCTTGTGGCACCTTAAAGAATAACAGATGTATTGGAGCATGAGCTTTCGTGCGTGAATGCCCACTTCGTCAGACACAAGCTTATGCTCCAATATATCTGTTAGTCTTTAAGGTGCCACAAGACTCTTTGTTGCTTGTCTCTGTCTTGTTGCTAACAACCTAAGAGTGAAGATTGTGTTTTCTTCCACACAAGTATTTGTTGTTCTATACTGTGGTTTGACTTAGAGTTTTAATCTTAGAGGGTTTTTTTTCCCTTTCCTGGACAGTGGTTTGCAGATTAAACTTGCAAGATAAAGAGTAACAGTATTATTATTTAAAGTGATACATGCGTTTAAGGGGCTTTGTTGAAGTTATAATATATGGTACCAATAAGATATAAGCAGTAGTATAGGGCCCAATGACCCACACTCATGGTGGCAGGGGAGTTGATTAATCTATGTATTAATTGCTGCCAAAAGGTCACAGTAACTCAGAAATTGTACAGCTCAAGCTACCTTATTTTAGTCCCTCAACATTCCCAGGCTGCACCTCTGATCCACCTGCCTCAGCTTCCCCCAGCTGTTTGGCAGGTCCCAACAGAGGAAAGAGACCTCTTGATCAGCTATGAGCCATCGAGGGAAGAGAGGGGAACGTGTCCCCACCCTTCTGTCGTTTGGTTGGGACTTATTGAAATAAGTGTGAAAACTGGTTTGGGGTGTTGTTTCCTGTTGTTTTTGTGAAGGGACGCCTTCGGTTTCAGAGTAAAGAATAGCAGAGTGTTCATTATAGTTTATTACATAGGCTAGCCAATAGTGAAGTGAAGTGAAGTTCTTTGTTTTAGAATTGAAATGAATTCTATGTTACGTGTTAAGATGAGTGGAACAAGGGCAAGAGTATAGTCTGAAGGAGTTACCCGTAGTATGGCTTTAGAAAACTTTGCCAGAAAATACACCCAGGAACATGGAGGATGTTTAGTACAATTAAGAGATAGTGAGATGATATCTTAGCATTGTAACCCATAGGGTTTTGTGAGTGAGGTGTTTGACGTAGAAACAGAGCAGAAAAAAAGAAATGCTAAACTGGTGAAAGGAATAGCTGTTGAATATCTGCTCATGGCTTGTAGTTCGCTGGGGAGGAAGCTGAATCAGAAATAGAATTACACAGGAAAGCCCAGCAAACTTTGGATGAGGGAGGAAAGGTTATTCAGGATTTAACAAATCGGTCACTTGTAGTGTCAGAGGAGCGATCAGTACTTTTTCAAAAGAAGCAGGAGTTAGAGAAAACATTAGAATGGTGTAGGTACCAGGTACAGGAGAGGAAGTGCGTTGTTGGAAGGAGCGAGCAGCTGTCATCTTAAAATTGCTGGATGGCTATAAATCAGACCGTGATCAACTGTTGAAGAGGATCAGGGAGTTGGAAAGTGTTTGTGATGTGCTAGAAAAAAATAAGGCACACAGAGCGCAGGCTACAGAAATGCCGGCTGCTGCAAGCTCCTTGAAAGAAAGAGCAAGCACAGAGGCACAGATGGAGACACAGGACAAAGATAGGAGATGCGTTAGAGGAGAACAAAGAATCGGTTCCCATTCCCATTGGCATGGTGGAACCGACGGAGATAGAGAAACCTGCCGGGCCAATTACTAGAAGTAGGGCGAGAGAGTTAGTTCAGGCTGATACAGTACCTTTAGGAGCGGACTTGGAGATTGAGTCTCAGGAGCCACATGGAGAGTCAAAAGAGAAAGTCAGCAGTGCAGCAGCTATTAGCACTCTGCAGATAGGAAAGGGAAGTCCCAGGGCAACACCACAGGAGGTGGAGTTGAGTGTCATCATAGAGGTCTGGGCAGCCATGAGGGGATTTTAAATTCAGTAGGATTATGCCAACATGTTTAAAATTAAGCATGTGCCTCAGTGGTTTGCTGGTATATATATTGCATATATTTATAAAATCATATGCAGTGCAATGTCACAACTATTTCACTAGGAGGGTGGTGAAGCACTGGAATGCGTTACCTAGGGAGGTGGTGGAATCTCCACCCTTAGGGGTTTTTAAGGCCTGGCTTGACAAAGCTCTGGCTGCAATAACTTAACTGGTGTTGGCCCTGTTTTGAGTAGGGGGTTGGACTAGACGAGGTCTCTTCCAACCCTAATCTTCTATGGTTCTGTGATTCTTTGGAACCCCACTTCAGGTAGATGAAGGCTGCTATCAAATCCCCCCTCACTCTTCTCTTCTGAAAACTAAATAAGCCCAGTTCCCTCAGCATCTGCTCAGAAGTCATGTGCCCCAGACCCCTAATAATTTTCGTTGCCCTGAGCTGGGCTCTCTCCAAGTTGTCCACAACCCTTCCGTAGTGGGGGGGGGGGGGGGAAAA